GCGTGAGCAGGGAGGGAAGGGGGCCATGTCCCCGTGGGGCCACGGTCCCCCTTCCCTTCCCACGCTCGCCTCCATCCGTCAGCATGGGAAGATGTCACCGTGTCCCTTCCAGGGGCGCGTCAAGCACTCGCGAGCTGGCGGCACTCTCCTTCCTCTCTGTTGCAGATCGGCTGTTCCAGAGCTTTAATTACGAGCTCAGAAAAGTGAGGAGTTACGTCTAGGGCGAGGCCTTTCTGCAGAATGGGGTTACGAAGAAAGGAATTCTGGGCCAGAGAATTGTAGCCTGGCCTTGCTCCTTAGCCCTGACTGGCTTCCCGTGGTCCTTCCTCTCCTGGGAACAGAGAAAGATGGAGGAGCCCACAGGCCAAAAAAAGAAGACACAGCCCAGAGGAAGACGCAGACGTGCGAAAGGACATCGCTGAGCAAGAGCGGGGGTGCGCGGGCAGGAGGCCCCGCGGGGGCGCCGCTCCGGCTCCAAAGCGCAGACGGGACCCCCACCCGCGTCCTGGAGATGAGAAGCGTCTCTTCGCGCCTTCGATGCTTCGTTTAAAGGTGACCGTGACGGGGTTCCCAGATTCATTCCTCTTCAGAGAAAGAAACCTTATGAGTGTAGCGAATGTGGACGCCTCTTTAAGCACAAGACAGATCACATTCGCCACCAGAGCGTCCACACCGGAGAGAAGCCCTGCCAGTGTGACCGGGGTGGGAAGGCGTTTCGGCACAGCTCTGACGTCAGAAAACACCAGAGAATTCACACGGGAGAAAAGCCCTTCCACTGCGGCTCGAATCCCCTGAAACATCAGAAGCCCCTCACCGGAGAGAAACCATAGGAACGCGAGGAATGTGGGAAGCCGTGGCCTACAGCGCGTGTCTCCTCCGCCATCGGAAACGGCACCGCGGAGGAAGCACTGAGTTGGGGGAGCTGTCCGCTCAGCACCTCCCGCTGCCGCCTCTGCCGGGAGTGGCGTCCACGCTGGCGCTGGCCCTCTCTCCACCTTCGAAGACGCTGGCCTGAGTGAAAGAAAACACAGGACAAGTACTGCACGGTTCCCTTTCGGCGAGGTCCCTGGCGCAGGCACACGCACAGACACCGGAAGAATAGAGGTTAGCGGGGGCCAGGGAGGGGACGCCACAGCTCAGTGGGTGCAGTTTCTGTTGGGGAGGCTGGATTTGGGTATTCGTAGTGGTGATGGGGGCACAGCATGGTGAATATTTAATGCCACCGAATTGTACCTTTACAAATGGTCAGAAATTTAAACATTAGGGTTTTTTACTGCAATGAAAAAGATCACTTGAATTTGACACGCTCTTAAACTGCCACTTTAAAAAGCTCTCATCCATTGTAGAACAAAATGACATTTTCTGACACGTTGAGGATGTGCATACCCTGCTCACCCAGGAGTCTCAGTTATCAATACGCCTCAGAGAAACGTGCTGCGCGCACCCAGAGACACCTGCGCCGATGCCCACAGTGCACGTGGAATGTCAGGGAGACTGGGAATGACCTAGGTGCGCGTCTTCAGTAGACAGATAAACACGCGTTGACATCTGTGGGTCCAGAGTCCGTCACGGGAGACACAGCAGGATGTTTATAACGTGCAAAACTAAACAGTATCGTAAAACCAGGGAGAGCGGCCAGAGACCAGCCCAGTCCAGTCCAAACTGGACAGAGCGGTCCCTCTGGCGGTGGGCAGCCCCCTGGGGCTCGGGTGTTTGGGCATCTGCTTCCTAAACTGGGCAGAGGGGGCGTGGGTGTCTGGCCCACCGCTGTCATTCGTCATATACGCCCTGAGTTCGTGTGTGTTTGATATGTTTCCCAACTTTCTTAAGTTTTTAAAAACTCAGAAGCTTTCCTTGTGACGCTGCTGCCCCGTCCGGGTGGACAGCCTAAGCTGCGCGCTCCCCCCATTCCGCTC